TTACCAACTTTGGATTGAAGGTCTCTGTTCGGAAATTTACGCCTAAACTCCTTGGCCTCCTTGACAGAGTTGTAGCCCAGAAAACCGAGGAGAGGATAATACACTGCATACCGACAAGGGATAAATAAAGTTACAAACAGTTGTTCTGCACATATGAAAAATTCGACAACATCTTTACTGGTTAAAATTCTCTTACCGGGGTCAAACTTCAATGTGGTAACTCCCAGAGACAAACCAGCCGCTTCAAGTTTCGAGTCTATTAAGAGCTTGCGATAATCCCTGTCTGCTTTATCCAAACCGGCCAAAGTTATCAGCTTCCCACCGAATTCCGGACTTAACTTCGGTTCTTTTTGTTTCGTCTCTTTTTCTACACAGAGTAAAAGTTCCGACCTGTTAGTGCACAGAACAATACCAAAATCAGAAAAGTATATCCGAATTGAAAATCAAATAAAACAAACTCACTGGCTCCGGAATGAATTAACATAGGGATTGTCATCCCATCGATTCGATGCTCATGAAAGAAGTCCACTGACTGCCACTCCCCACCGATCCATAACCACTCCTCCTGGAAGCCATGGAGACTCTCCGGAATCTCAGTCACTATTTCTCCGACTTTAACGCCGTGTTGCGGTTTCGCCCCGGCAAAGAAGCAACAAGAAGACTCGGCCACCCTCCTCTTCGGACTTTGTTTAAACGCGAAGATGCTCCTCATCTCATCGCACGAAAGAAGTCCTTCATCTCTCTCGTGCAGCAACACCATTAACCCGATTATCTTTTTCCAACTATTCGGAGTAATCTGGCACAACGGTAACCCCCAACTTTCGAGGTACTCCGTGATCAAGTTTGGCAACGGGAACCTTAATCCCGACCTCAAACTCTCCGCAAAGACGCCCACGCAACCCGGAGGTGGACTTGTTATTCTCTCCCCGGGATAAGGAGCAAAGATTTTCACCGAGGGAGGGATCCGAACCTGCTCTCTCAACATTACGACATCAGCGTCGGTAAGGATACTTGGCTCGCCGATAAAATCAATCGCCGGATCGGGCCACTTCCTCACCGGTCTTCTCCAATGAGGCACCACGAGGTCGGTTGCGTTGTGTTCCACTACCAAATCACCGTCCTCATCGTTCAACTTGATATTCAGATGTCTTACCAACGACGGGTCCCACCGGTGGTATTCAAAGGCCAACTCGACCAGTTCCGAATCGTGGTAAACATCCAACGGAACCGACTCAGTACTCGATGAACTTGCCACCGCCTTTCCCTTCTCTTTCGGCGCCATTGCGTACTGACCAAACAAAAACACACAAGAAATAAACAAAGAATCGAAAAAAGAACTCACCGAAGGATTTGTAGACACACAGTGAACACGAAACGACTCTCGAACGCAACAAAGTTTCCTCAAACAAGATTATCGGATGCAAAGGTCTAAGAATGAAAGCGCAGGTGAAGAAAACTCGATCAAATGTCTCGAAACCCTATTTATAATTGTCAATTTTATGACCGTTGAGGACCTTAATTAGGGGCGCGTCGAACCGACGCGACCCCTAATCCTAACCGACGCCACCTCTTCGCCTGATAAGACACCTACCGTTACACGTGGCAACCTATTAAAGTCGACCGTTACCTCATTTAAGACCATTACGGCGCGACCGTTCGGTCTAAACATTAAATCGTTGACCGTTACGACTGTTCGCCTCTTCTGTCACAACTGCCTGAAGATTATTCGAAATTCACCAAGTGTCTTCACCTCGAAATACAGTCTACACTTCGGACAGATGACTCACTTCGGTTACATCGGTCGGAAGACCGAAGATGATCCTCCGAAGACAATAGACCACATCCTGCCGCCGACTTCTTACCGATCCAGGGTCTCTAAATGTCTAGCATAACAACATCGACGACCATCACTCTGTATGCCCACCGATGTTGGGGGCCTCTTTGTTATCATCCGGATCGGTAAAACTACATTAAGAGATTCCAAACGTCACATTAAGAAGAAGATGATCATTGAGCCGACGTAATTTTAAAACACCACCCCGGTTCAGGCGACGAACCGGACCGAACTACCGAAGACCGCAGTGGTCGGCACCTACCGAAGTCTATCCAAACCGAGGTTACCTACCGAAGTCTATCCAAACCGAGGTCGCCACCTCCTTAAGCAGGTGACAAGGTGCCTACGCACAACCATCCTGCTCCACAAAATCCATCATCATTTCTGTGGGACCTACTACTCCAAACCGCCCGCAAAAAGTCACTTTATTCAAAAAGTAGTGCACAGATCCCAATGTATCAACCCGAAATTACTATAAATAGCGGACCCATGACATTTGTACGGGGATCTCGCTCCGAACTAAGAAAACTTTACTAAGCAACACGCAAAAGCCCATCACGGCTCTTCACCTCGGTTCACCTCGGACCGGGGCCATTATTGAGTTAATCTTACATGCTTTACGTCCAAATCATTCATAACTCTTATCTTAATAACATATTAAATCGTTGTTAAACATCACATAACAACACTACGTTTGATAATAAAGTTGTTATTCGTTTTGGCAAAAAGTTCATATGCTCTGGTTCATTAGTTGACAATCTATACATTCTAGAATCTAAGTCATCTCCACTGCAACAGAAACAATTACTTAATTCATCATCTAATCTGAATAAGAGAAAGGAACCTTCTAAAATGAACGAAACATATCTTTGGCATCTAAGACTTGGTCATATTAACCTTAGGAGGATTCAAAGGTTGGTAGCAGATGGGCCCTTGGGGTCGTTAGAAGTTGAGGCTTTTCCAACTTGTGAGTCTTGCGTGGAAGGTAAAATGACTAAGAAGGATTTTAGTTCAAAGGGGCATAGAGCCGAAGATGTGTTAGGGCTAGTTCATTCCGATCTATGTGGTCCTATGAGTATTCAAGCGAGAGGTCGTTTCGAGTACTTCGATACGTTTATCGATGATTACTCGAGATATGGGTACATTTTCCTTCTGCACCGCAAGTCTGAATGCTTTGAGAATTTCTTAGAGTATAAGGCAGTTGTGGAGAAGCAGTTAGGAAAAAGTATCAAGTCATTGCGATCAGATCGTGGTGGCGAATATATCTCGAATGAATTTAGGATCTACTTGACGGATAATGGGATTACGTCCCAGCTGACTGCGCCTAGCATGCCTCAGCAGAATGGCGTAGCAGAACGGAGGAACAGGACTTTTATGGAAATCGTTAGGGCAATGATGAGTTATAGTAGTTTACCAGATTCGTTTTGGGGATATGCCCCAGAAACAGCGGTACACATTCTGAATAGAGTACCTTCTAAATCAGTACCGTCTACACCATTGGAGTTGTGGTCTAGGCATAAGCCTAGTCCAAGACATCTCAGGATTTGGGGTAGTCCAACACATATGCTGAGAACCGATACTGATAAGTTAGAACCGAGATCAGAAGTAAGGCTGTTTGTGGGATATTCTAAGGAAACGAAAGGTTGTCTATTTTATAGTCCCGAGGACCAGAAAGGAATCGTTAGCACGAATGCTAGGTTCTTGGAAGAAGACTATGTCTTAGATCATAAGCCCAGTAGTAGACATGTTCTTGAAGAGTTAAAGGGAGTGAGTACTTCGATACCGAGTGCGCTAGATGTTACACCACAAAGAACTACAACACGTATCGCTGACGATGCACCTTAGCAGGTAGTACCTCGTCGTAGTAGGAGGGTCGTCCGGCATCCCAAACGGTTCATGGGTCTGAGAGAGTCTTCTGAGGCCGTCCCAGACGTTCTTGAATCCGACCCATGGACATACAATGATTCACTCCAAGATCGGGACGCAGAGTCTTGGCAAAAGGCGATGAAATCTGAAATAGAGTCAATGGACACTAATCAGGTCTGGGATATTGTAAAGCCACCCAGTGGCGTTCGCGCCATTGGATGCAAGTGGGTCTATAAGAGAAAGAGAGGATCAGATAGAAAGGTTGAAACCTTCAAAGATAGGCTTGTTGCGAAAGGGTACACTCAGAAAGAAGGGATCGATTATGAAGAAACATTTTCGCCGGTAGCCATGCTCAAAACCATCAAGATTCTCTTGGCTGTGGCCGCTCATATGGATTATGAGATTTGGAAAATGGATGTTAAGACCGCTTTCCTTAACGGGAATTTG